TCAGACTTCAGCTTGGCCTCCTGAAGAGGACAGGATGGTGACTGGGAGGTTCACTGGGTCTCAAAAAAGAGCTCTATGTACGGCAGTGATGATCAGGGACTTCTGCACTATGAAATAAACTTCAAACTCACTGATCTTCACAGACAAAGCAGCAGAGACAATGTGAAGGGATGTCAGTACCGTGACGATGTCCTTTGGTTGTACTTTGGGAGGTTCAGGCTCAGGCTCTGCAGAAGGAAGCAGGTCCTCCAAAGCACTGAGAGCATCTGCAGACATGGAAGTGTCCTAGAGAGACAAAGACAATAGGAACTTGAGTGGTAAATTTACATTTGAGTTAGTATGGAATATTATTTAGCCTTGTATAACACTTAGTGAACATAATCCTTAGCGCAATGCTATAAAGATGTAACCCGCAAAATACTATATAACCATGAAACCTTTACAGAAAATAGTCCAATTATTGCTGCCTGATCTAGCCTCAGGCTTTATGTATCTGTATCTTGTTTTAGCCCTGGTTGTATGTATATGAGCCTTATTCAGCTCTGTTGCTTATCGCTACGTTGAAGGCCAAAGAGTATAATTGGCTTTAATATCTGGCCAGCTCAAAACTTCAAAGACTGCTACTGCTCCACCATAGAAACCCCTTGGGTCTCCATCGTAATGTCCTTGGCTGATTTCGGGCCTTTGCCATGAGTATACAAAACACTGCGGAGGCCAATTCGCCACGATCGTGTTTTCTAGCCCAAAACTTATAGAGGCGGGGAAGCAATTGGACCCCAAAAAGACAGGGAATAATAAGAGACCTAGGGGTGAGGAGTCTGAGCCCCGGAAGGGGGGGCACAAAGATAACAATTGGTCCAGAATGATGATGCTTGGGACGCCCCGTATCACAAATATCTTGATATGAAAAGTGTATTAAAATCAAGAAAAGAAACTTGGCAGATGCAGCTAGCAGCTAACCTCTTCCTTCTTGGTCTTTGGATCCCCAGAAGGCTTTGGTGCAGCAGGCCCAGCATCCTGGGATCCAAGGAGTAACACAAGATAAATGCTCAAAAGGTCACACTGCTGGATCCTGTTACTAAGTTATAGTCTCTCTACATACAGACATAAAAACAGTTTATTTCTTGACTATTTTAACTGCAACTCAATGACTAGACTAATATAATAGACTAACTGAGACTAATAACTAACATTTTGGTTACAAGACAAATTAGCAATTTTATCCTCTATGCTGCACAGTAACCTTATTTTTATACTATTCCTGCCATACGTAACATCTTTAGAATAGCCTGCATATTTCTGTCGTAAGGACTTACAAAGAAACACTGCCTTCACAGAGGAATGTTTACTATATAATTAAAGGTGAAGTTTAGTAACAATATGTAAATGAATAAAAAAAAAAAAACCCACAAAGCCCAATTAACAACATTGTGTTTGTTAATCCTTTGCAAAAGACAAGAGGCAGGAAGGCGGGGTCCTGCGGCATTGTGGGAAAGCTGCTCTGCACCTCGTGCATCCTGGCTTTCTTGTCTGCAGGGGGAGCCTCGGACCTGGACCCAGCGCCTACAGCCGGCTTCTTGATCTCCGCTTTCTGCAAGTGCAGAAGTAGTTTTCTACTTAACTCACAATCATTCAACACAACGCATGCAAAGCCTTTTCAAATAAAAGGCTAAATGACTATGCTTACTCTTAATAGTTTTCATGCATAAATTAAAAGATATAACGTGAAAATATTTACATCTCTTAAACACTGACACCAACATTGCTTGCTGATATCAGACAGCTGTAGAATGCTGAATGGGCTTTAGAAATATAGTGGTGATTCATGCAATGTTAGTCCAGTGTGAGGCTAATAAAAAAAAATTGTTTCTATACGTCTTGATTTTAGGAGAATTTAACTATTAATACTATTTTAATATGAATATTATCAATGATAATATTATTAATATAATCTTAATATTATTTGATTATTAATAATTTACTTAAATTTACCTACATTTTTTAAGAGAAATGTAAACATTCTTCACTGGTTCTACAGAACGGGCCGAAGCAATAAGCTGTCATGTTACACGATGGGGGTTATTGATAATGCTAGAAGCATCATGTACAGATAGCTTACAAATACAATATAACAGTCTATCTATGCCTACAGTATGATACTAAAGCATTTACAAAAGAAGTCATTCAACTCCACCTTCTGTGTGGCCTGACTGTCTGCAGGAGGCGGAGAAACATTTGACAATGCAGCTGACAGGACATCAACAGCAGCAATGTCCTCCACTACCTAGAAAAAGCACAGGGCAAGATGTAGGAAATTAGCTATTACACGACCGAGCACAGGAAGTCGTACCTTATTCTGAAGTTACGAAATACTGTTATTTTAAAAGACGATCCCTAAAGGGATCAAACGGAGCCCTGCAGGTATTACAATCCAGTACTCAATAAAAAAATATTACAATGAAAAAGCAGTAATGAAGTATAAAATGTGGACATTACTGGTTTCTTCTTCTCTTTACTTTTCGCAGCAGAGCTGTCAAACCCAGCTGAGAGGGCATCCAAAGCGGCATCTGAGCTTAGGGGTTTCTGAGTACAAACAAAGACACAGGGCCTGGTGAGTCTGGAATTTCTCACCGGGCACGAGGATCAACACACCCTGGATGACAGGCTGGTCCATCCCATGGCAAACACAATACGGACATACCGATCCACCCAAAGCATTTATCTTTGGTGGTGCCAGTCGAAGGTCATGTGAGGCTTCTCCCAGGCAAGCGCCCCCCCCTCCACAAAGCTTCACTTCTGGCACCACCCACCGAAATAATACTCACTTCCAATACCGTTTTTTTCCTGGGTTTTTCTCCCCTGCCAACTTTTAAGTGGAAGTGCTTCAAACCGTTTTATATATCTTCTATATATTACATTTTAATTTGTTTTCTTAGCTTTCATTTGAATTCATTTTCCTGTATTGCAGTATGTTCTCCTTTGCTGAATTTTACATTTATCGTCTTTGTTTTTATATTTCCATTTGTCCATCTTCTGACCCCTTTTCAAATACAGCCTTGTGCGTGATGTGTACTTGCTAATGCTGTCCACTTGAGGGCGCTTTTAAGCTCTTCATTGCTACCCGCAAGCAAACTTTCAACACGGGCTTTGTTTTCTGCTTTTGAGTTTGTCTGAACAGAAACCAGCTGGTCCACAATCGTAAAAGTCCAACATATGCCTTAGTCATCTGAAGGTGTTTGCACACTTACAACTTTCACCAGTCCCACCCAGTCGACAAAGACAGCTATCGCTGACGTTATAAACGATTCTGTAGTCATGGATTGGGAATGAGAGATTTACTAATCAAAACATGTGTTTTACATCTGAAAAAGGGCGTGTCTAGTTTTTTTTCCATAATCACATTGTATTTCTTAAGCATTCTAAGCTGTAAATGTGGGGGAAAAAAAATAATTGAGGCAAAGTGGCATAATACAATTGCCCCATGACGCTGGGAGAATAATCGCACAATACAGGCAGGCAGTACAGCTAGAGAGACGATACAGAGACACAGACTGATTGTGGGATTAGAGGAAGCAGCACAGAAGTCAACCAATGGGCCGGTGGTCAGAGTGACTTCATCATCGGGCTCCTGAGCAAAGGCCCTTAACTGGAAATCGCTCCAGGGATCATCTGACCCTGCTTTCACAATTGTACATCACTTTGGGTAAAAGCAATTACTAAACAAACAAATGTAATTCTAATCTAAAAAAAGGCAGAAGTAATTCGGAAAACCCAGATAACGTGTTGCTCCTTAACAGACTCCCTAACTGTGGGAGCTTCCTCGGGCTTAACCTTCCCCGCAGGCAGTTTCTCGCACTTGGGCAAACGGAAAAGAATTCCAACACAACCAACCCATCTTACAGCAATGGGACAGACTGCATTTTTCAGCAGCATGACACTTCAATACCAGAGCTAAGCCTGGATAAGAATATGAGAATTAGGACACGAGTCCCGTGTGTGGCTGTGAGCGTGATGGAGGGACAGGCACTGACCATTACTTCGGGGGAGGGGGGTGCTTTCCTTCACCCCATACAGCACTGCCGTCTCAGGAGTACGATCACGTTCGAGTGAGCAACACACACTCAATATTAACAGTCAGCAACAGGCTTTGTGCACAAATGACACACCCATATCGAAAGCTATGCTGATTTCCAAAGCCATGACACGCACAAAAGCCTTATTCTTTTAATTTCAAACTAACGTCAGTAAAACATAATATGATAACATACCCTTAAAAAAGCGATTTCAGCTAACTGCGCTGCAAACCTAAACTGGAGAAATTGCACAACCAGACTGGGTGTAGTTATGAAATGCATGAATATTCCCTTGATCAGGGCCGACCTACAAGGCACACCTTCAGGAATCTGCAGAACTGAAGACCTGGCAGCATACCTTCTGGTAGCAGACAGTTTTATATGTCTTTGACCTCAGGGTATCATTTGGGGTATCACAAATTCTGGAGGGGGTAAACTACCAGGCAGGGCATCAAGTCAATCCCCATCAAACTTGCAGGACATTAACACAAGACAGCACTGGGCCTAGGAAGCCTGCTGGGGGCTAGGACAGGGCGTGCTCTGCACCCCAAAGCAACTCTACGTCTCCACCCAGATAGTGGAGCATGCTGCCTACTACGGTTAGCAAAGAAATCGATACTACTCGATACTACAAATTATTATTGGATTAGATACTCATTTACAGTAGTATGGATACCAACTAGGGATGCAAATTATCGAGTAATTCATTAATCAATAGTTGTTTCATCTTATCGATCGATGATCGATTAATTGCTAAGCGGCAATTTTTGTATTTACTTCAAAATACTTCCACATATTGTGCATTTGGCGTCGTTGTCGTCATTGACCAACTTGAAGTGGCTCCATACTGCACTCCGTTTTGCCCTCTTCATCCTCTGTGTAACGTTTCTCTTTTATCTGTTGTTTTATCTGTTGTTTGCTTGTGTTCCCGCGTGTGCGTCAAGTACGTTTGGCGTCAAGTGCGCCCCACGAGGACTGGCAAGGAATTATGGGTTCAAAATACAATTAATTGCAATTAATTAATTTCGGTTGACTCTTCAGTCTCCATTTCTTAGCTGTTAGCTTCCGATTTCTTTTAATATGCTTTACTATAACCTTCTCATTCTTCATGTCTTCTCATTTTTGTTTGGTAAGAGCATGCCCGTCACCTGTCTTAGGCAGTGTAATTGATAATCGATTAATTGCTTACATCCCTAATACCAACAGTGCCGTCTTTGTCTCCTCCGGTTCACATACAACTTCACACGGCTCTGCTGCAGACAGGCAGGAACACAGCCCCTCCCCTCACTAGTAGCTGAACAGATGAACGCTAGCTGACGTTACTAACACTTAGCTGGCTGAACATGGCAAGCTCTGACACTGAAGGGACCAGTTTTAGTCGAGAATGAAAAAAGTGCCAAGTGCCATTTGGAAGTATTTTGTATACGAGGCAAACGACCCAGGAAAGACTAAGGATGTCAATAATCTATATACAAACAATGCTACAAAGCAGCGGCGATGATGTCGAGTAGCACAGCAAACTTGGCGAAGCATCTTAAAGACGACACCCCAGTTTTACGAGGGATTCTGAGAGGTCGGTAAAGCTCCCGTTTCAACAATGAAGTATTACACAGTTATGATAACTGTTAACCTGGCTGGCGCACACCTTAAAGTTAGCCATTTAGCTATTACCAAATTGGCTGATACCCACATTAACCATCTGTTAATTATGTTATCATCAATGTGGCCGTTGTGGCTAATAACAAAACGATAATGTAATCAGGGAAGTAGGCAGCAAATGTTATCAGTCCAGTCCGTCCGTCTTTTTCTGTCTTCATAAGAGAAGATTACAGTAATATGCCATTTTGCAAGGGGATGTTTATCAGACCAAAATTCTCAGTGTAGCATTATTGAGTTGTATGAAATAAAATAAAATGTAAAATGGGATGTGCAAAAGATTTTATTTAATTGTGTTAATTTGAAGACCTGTAGTCATTCAATACTGACAGATTGCAAAATTGGCAGCAAAATTCCTTTGATTACCTAATTAGTCCTTAAACTACAAAGACAGATGTGACCAGTCATGAAAAAGGTTAACATAGGTAATTGCTAGTTGTGCTTGTCCTTGGTTCTCTCTTATGCCTTGTCCACACGTACACGGGTATTTTTTTAAAATGTACCTTATTCTATACGTCTTGGGCTTTTGTCCACACGTAAACGGCGTCTTAGGTCACTGAAAACGGAGCTTTTGCGAAACTCCACCCAGGGTGAAGATTTTAAGAAACTCAGTTTTCAGCGTCGACATGTAGACAGGGAAAACAGAGTTTTTGGCTCGAAACGTCAGATTGTGCGCCGTTGTCCACTTTGTTTAACGTCAGAGCGTGCGCTGTTTGCTATATACATGATGATGATGATGAAAACCCTTTATTGCTGTTGCAATTCACCATGTCACTAGTCACAAGTACCAGCGAAAAATTGGCCATCAACCCGACCATACATATACAAACATCAAATTATAGGGGGTAGAAAGGTCAGGAAGACGGGGGATATAGGAAGAACAGAGAAAACAGAATTACATGAAGAGAGAGGAGGAGAATAAAAAAAACAGCCCCCAGACTGTAGTCCAGTAGGGAGTACAATGTAGGAACAGAAAAAAACACCTCAGCAACATAAACACATAGTCACTACACCTTACAACATAAAAAGTCGTGACTTGCAACAGGGGAGGAAATGGGGAGGTGGAGGTAGCCCAGCACAGACAAACAGCCATCCGGTCCTGCAGCCAAATCCAGCACCGGTCAACAGGCCCGCCTGTTCATGCTGGGGGTATGAAGCGGCGAAGGCGTGGGATGGGGGGAGGGTATACTTGGGATTGGTGGAGAGGAATGCAAGAGAGTCTCACTGCCTTGTTCTTCTGGGGGAGTTGTTGAATTCAGCAGCGGCCTTGGCCAAGGCCCGTGCTGATTAGGGGGGAGCCAAAAGCAGATCGAATTTTGGGTTTTCGGGCGAGAAGCTGTAATTTCGCAGCTCCTCTAATGTCCACGCTGGTCTCCGCCATCCAAAATCCTTTGCATAGCCGTGAGCCGTGAGCTCCTCCTAATTTCGTTGTACTTGTTACAATGACAATAAAGTTATTCTGATTCTGATTCTGGTGATGTTATCAAATCTGCGGTCAATAGTCACAGTGATGGTATCCAATTTCTGACTATGGCGATCTATAGCCATAGTCTGAGTGCCAACAGCTCTCCCAACTCCGTAAATCATCCCGGCCAGCCTAGTGGGGCTTTCAGCGGCTGTTACCGTTTTCTTCAATTTTCGATAAACCAGGGCAATGCCTAATCCAATCAGCATCAGACCTGTAATCATGGTTCCGAATAGGTAAATGTCTTCGATGTCCTCCACGGACAGAGCCACCAGACACACAACCCTCCACTTCCCCCATCCGTCCATCGTGTAGCCAGCTGCGTACGTTCCTGCAGGACAGTCAGGTTCCCCTGAACCTGGGCTACTCATCAAGAAGATGGTGTCAACTGTGTTTGAGCAATGGAGGACTTAGCCGAAATAGTGCTTGTGCTAACCTTGCTGACAGGACTTCTTACATGTGTACAGATAAATGTTGAGTCACTCTCGCATTATATTGATCAACACAGGCGTCGGAATGTGCGCCACGGTTTTCAACTTAACAGGACTGGCAATTAGGCTTCTGATTGGCTAACATGGCAGTACGGTTAGAGTTATAACGCTACCTGTTGGTTTGGCATGGTTTTGGCATGCTCTTTTAGCGGTTTCATGTGGACGGAAATATTTTAGAAGAAGACAATGTTTGTGTGGACGGGGATTTTTTTTTTTTTTAATGGAGGAGGAAAAACACAGTTTTAAAAAATACCCGTGTACGTGTGGACAAGGCATTAGAGAGTGGCAACATGGGAACTTATAAAGAACTCTCTCCTGACCTAAAAACTAAAGTAATTCATCCTTATGAATTATAAGAAGGGAACAAGAAATTATCACAAGTTTGGACTGAGTCTCCACAGTCAGAAATGTAGTCAGGAACTGGAAGACCAAAGGAAGATGTGGTGGGCCAAGAAAAATATCTGAAAGGCACCGGCGAAGGCTGATTAGAATGATCAAGGACAAACCAGACCACCTCCAGATAGCTACAACAATATCTGGCTGTGGATGGTATCATTGTACATCGTTCCACAGTCCTGCGCACTTTGCACCAAAGGGTGATGTGCAAAAAGCCTTTTCGGAGTACTCGCCACAAGAAGAGCCGCTTCATGTATGCAAAAGTGCATCTGGACAAGCCAGAAACATTTTGGGAAAAAATACTGTGGACAGATGAGACTAAGGTAGAGTTATTTGGTCACAACCAGAGGCGCTATGCATGGCGAAACAAACACACAGTATTCCTGGAGAAGAACCTGCTGCCTACTGCAAAATTGAGTGGAGGGCCCATCATGTTATGGCGCTGAGTGGCCAGCACAGGTACTGGAAACCTTGTTAAAGCTGAGGGCCGCATGAATTCCTCCCAGTATCAGCAGATTCTTGACATGAATTTTCAAGAGTCAGTCAAAAACTTGAAGTTACGCCAGGGTTAGATGTTTCAGCAGGACAGTGATCCAAAGCACCGTTCAACATCTACCAAGGAATTCATGCAGAGGCAGAAGTACAATGTCCTAGATTGGCCATCCCAGTCCCCAGACCGGAACATCACTGAAAATGTATGGACTGATTTGATGCAGGCTGTCCATGCTCAGAAGCCATCAAACCGGACTGAACCGGAAGCATTTTGGTGGGACTGATGGGATTAGACCTGCTTATTTTTGGTTAAATGCACATTAAATTGGTTCTGTTGGTCCAATAAAAAAAATATTTCCCTACTAAAATGTTGCAGTTTACATAAAGGTATAAAATGATGCTGCTGCATCCAAAGCTTAGCAAGTTATAAACTGATACAGTGATTTTAATCAGGGCTGCCCAAACTTTTACATAACACTGTATAAAGTTTATATATTATACAAAAGATATGTAAGAGAACAAGGTACAGACAACTGTGGCTCATATTTTCTACTTTCATATGCTCTGTAAACTGAGTAGTATACATTTCATGAAAAATGCATTTAAAACATCTATTCATATATACAGTACAATCCAGAGCCGTGAATCATATCAGGTGGTCACAAGGTAGGTCCAACTTCCTGCCTGAACAAAATAATTCCACACAGCAGACATTTTTCTAACTGTTGAGTATGCAGGTGTGCAAAGCAACATGGGTCTCCGTTTTAAAGCGGATTATCGGCAATAAATATCGGCTCACTTTTAACCATTAGCCGATGGCTGATTGTTTCTGTATCAACTGATACCTATATTTGACCAATATAATTGCTGCATCTCTGCACATTTCCTTTTTTTTATTATTTTGATGTGGGGTGCCAAGAGAGGAGTGAAACATTGATTGAAATGCAAAAGTATTGAGATAAAAAATAGTTAAAACTCATCTCACTTTGAAAAGGTTGTAACAGCTGACCAATACCAATTTAACATTGTGGTAACAATATACTGATAAGATCTCACAACACAGCAGGTCCAAGAAAAGACAGAGAGGACGGAAAATGCTAAGTAGTGATAATCCACTGATATCATCATGCAAAACAGAATAAAAAATACCAGAAATTGCCCAAGAGAATTAGCACTTTACCTTGGGGGTTTCTGCAGTTTTTGTGGGCTTCATTTCTTGTGATCTTTGCTTGACTTCAGCTGACGCCTGGGTAACTGCAGACTTTGCAGCCGCAGCCTTGGTTGAGGCGATGGGTACGTCCTATAAGATAGGCCAGCACGTGCTTTTAAAACCACAACGCTGTGGAGGGGACACCATTCAACCCTCTGAAAAGCCGAACGATAAGAGCAAGAAGACCAATGGAAAACCCAGACAGCGCCGGAAAACCACACACGCAATGTTGCAAAGAAGGGGACAGGTACACCTCATCCAGAATTTTGTTCACCAGACGGATTCAGCCAGTAGTTAGGAGAAAGTACAGTTCTATTAAAGTCAGATGTGATGAAGACATGAAAATCGATGAAGATGTTAGAGGCATAGAACAACACAAGCCCGCTTTGCCATTTAGGCCAAGGAGGTGAGCTATCTACCTTGGACTTCACCTCCATATTCCCCTCGACTGCAGCTTTCCCAGCTGATGCAGATACTCCACCAACAGCAATTGCACTGGCTGCTCCAGCTGCTACTACAGGCTTTGTAGGATCAAGTGACTCAGCTTTCTTTGATGAGATGGTTACACTCTATAAGACAGGTGACGGGCATGCTCTTACCAAACAAAAATGAGAAGACATGAAGAATGAGAAGGTTATAGTAAAGCATATTAAAAGAAATCGGAAGCTAACAGCTAAGAAATGGAGACTGAAGAGTCAACCGAAAGTCAAGTAGAACCGTAAGAAAGCAGCTGAGAGGCATGAAGAACATCATCATTAACCCCAAAGAAAGAGGAAGGAGTCTTTGAAAGCTCAATTTCTGACCCTAGTCAGCCATAATACGTTGGAAATGAAAAATAATCTTAAAGACGACTGGCACAATGAGCCACTTTAAATGTACAAGAAAGATGGTTAACAAAAGGAAGAATAAGGAAGAGACCCCAGAATCGAAGTCAGGAGCAAAGGCAGTGTACAGAACAGGATCAAAGGTTCAAAAGGTTCAACCTTGGGCATCCCTTGCGTAGTGTCCTGAGGCTTAACACCTTCCTGTTTCCCCTTGGCTGGTCCAACATCCCCCGGACCAGCAGCAGAGCCTGCACCAGCTTTTCCAGTCGGCGAGGTTAAAGGAGTGGCTTTACTGGGAGAGGCCGATGATGTCTATAAGAGCAAGGCAGGAACCAACTTGTACAAAGAGCGCAACTGAGTGAGGACCAGCCCTGTATTCAGAACCCTTGGCAATATGTAATAATACGCGATAGTGATGTATTTCAGCACGTGGCACCTTTCAGCTTTTCCTCTTCTCATGACGCAACGTGGCAGAATCACATCAGAAAGCCTTTTGCGCACACAAAGGTACAACCCAACCATTTTTTAAACAAGAGATTATAAAACTTTGTTCTTTCAAAACTACATGTAACTAGCAACAGGCCTTCAAAACAACCGGTACAACTTGCCTGAAGTAGGTGATGAGGAAGAGGAAACCCTCAGATCTGCGGTATGCGGTCTGGCCAGTACAAAAACCAACCCTGACTGCCCGTCTCTGGCAGCGACAGCTTTAGGGCAGACAGTGCCGCCTCCTGCCATCAGCTACCAGATCATCTAATCATACGCGAACACTTCCATTCCGCTGGCTAGGAAACCTTCTGTATTGTGCAATTCAAGATTGGAAACATCTGTCACATGTAAAAGGTAACCAAAATTTAAGCAGTGATGCATAAATGAAGCATTAACATAAGTATTCATAAATGTGTGGTCATCCAGGACAGAGAACAACAAAATCCTATGCAACTGCAGAGGACAAAATTGGACATAGCTTATACCACTTATGCAGGTATAGAAAATGTATAATATAAATATCAAATCTTATTCTATGCTTCATTCCTATGCATCCATGTCTTTGTGGCTGCAAATGTGTTATCCAGCTTCCTCTAGGCAAGTTGATCATTCCACTCGGTTGTGATTTTACAAAATACTTTAAGACAATTTTCTCCTCCACACCTCATTCTGACTTGACTCTGGAATGCTGAAGCATAGCTGGTTCAGCACATCTGTCCCTTTAACCCTTTCACTCCACATTGAGCTTTCATGCTTCTATTACTGAGCTCTATGGGACTGGCTTAACTAGGTTAGATACCCGTACAAACAAACAAATAATCATTGCATATTATTTGGGCTATGGAATGTAATCAGAACAGAACAGAACAGAGAGAACTATAGACAGAGCTGAGGCTCAAATCAAACTCGTGCTGAGCCACCTATTTCATCAACGAAGCTAAAATACATAAGCCAAAGTCCATCATCCATCCATCCATCCATCCATCCATCCATCGATACATACACCTTCCAACCGCTGAGCTGGTCAAAGTATGCGTATAAAATATATACATATGTATATACATAAAATACATAATATATATGGTAGATCTCATTTGACATCCATTCATCTAATATGCTGAAAAAATATTTTACAGATTTGGCAAAAAAAATTATCCAAAGAAAATAGTATTACAGCAACAAAACTGCAGTAATGATGCATTTAGCAATAATAAATGACTAATATCTGATTAAAATAGATTTTACTCTATTATATTTACTCTATTATACTCTTATATGTGCAATGCTACCCAAATGCCATGTCATCGACTTACAGTGTCCTTTAAAGGTTCTGTCTTCCTGTTCATAGGAGAAATTTTTGTGAAGCCTACTAAATTTCTGATGTCAATCTAGAAGCAGAAGATGATGTTCAACACTGAAACTGAACCGCCTCAAAAGTTGCGCTGCTATATAAAGTTAGATTCAGTCATACACAGACGATTTTTTTAAGTGCAGTGTGGGTGGTTTTTTGGGGGAGGAGTTTATCTTATATCCTGTTGTGTAACCTGAACAAGGAGAACCCTTATGACACTGGCTGTTTGTTTGCATTTTAGGCTGACTGTTAAAGGAACACTATATGAAAAGTGATTATCAGCAAATTTATATTTGCCGTATCCTTTTCACAAAAACAAAGTATGAGAATATTCCTTTCATTCTGTATTTTGCATGTATTTCAATCTGATACCGATTATGGTTTATTTTATTGACTAGACACAATATTCCCTAGCCGATAATCACAAGGTGTAACAAGATCTGTGACCTTACAGTAATACACCATCACTGAATACAACATATTTAAGCTTTTAATGTGCCGAGTTGTTTTCTGTCATGTCACTGCAGAGAAAGGGCAGTTTGTGCTTCCATATAAAGAGGTTTTCATGTCTGGCTGTTTTAAAGTCTCTCGGTCCCCAAGGCTTTTAACGGGCTGCGCTGCTTTCATAAGACAGGAAAGCCTGAACAATGTGAGCAGAGGGTGGGTGGGGTTATACAGGAGAGCTGCGTGTCTGCAGCGTGTACCTCTGATTCTGCGGGCTTGGCACCGGAGACCTGCGACGCAGCGGTGGATGCAGTTTGTTTGGGCTGCGACTGTGGAGAGCAGAGAGACAAAGGGAAGGTGAGATAGAATATAGCCTGACATCAGCAAATCCACCCACTCACCTACAGCCATTCATACTGCAATAATGCAGCGTTATAACAGCACTAACATGCAGAACCCAAAGGCTTTCCCACTTTGCTGAGAACAGAGAAATAAAACCAATTACTGTCATGATACTGTCATGCCATAACAGAGATTTCATTCTTAGCAGGAGGAATTAAGGAACTACTTAAAAGGCAATAGTCTCTCTTATTTGTGCTTCATAATTGAACAAATAAATTCACTAATACATAATAATACATACTAATAAAGACCTGATGCAAGAAGAAACTGATACTTCGAATTCTGATGACTGATATAGGAGGATGGTATGGAAAAACATTGAAAATAACCACGCATAAATTTGCTCCACATTTGAGCTTTTCAATGAAGAGGTCAATAAAACCAGAAGTTAATAAAACGTCCAAGTGTAATACCAAAATGCCAAAATAAACTGAAGGAAAGAAAAAGAATAAATATCTTAAAATCTAAATATTAAATAAACTGTATAACTGAAGAGAGCTAGACTTCACTGCAGACTGTGCTGGATATCACTACCTACAGAGGGTAGTGTACAATTTCATAGAACCATCCCACACCTAAAAAGTCTAGTCTTTCCATAAACATTTGCACACACATATTGGCTAAACACAGGTTACTTTTTTGGGATCTGACAGTACATTCCTGTCATTTAAAAATACAGACGGGCAATAGGATATATTGTGCTTTTTTCAGTAATTTGCTGGATAATGCTGTTGCCATTATTTGATTAAATGCATTGTGTAATTGAAGCTATTAAAAAGGCAATTTTTAAGACGGGAGCTTACACTATACAGTGCAAGTGCGGTAAGGAGAAAGTACGGCTTTCATCCCACTGATTTGCTACTAGACCTAGATCTTACAGTAAATTGACGTTTGAAGTTAGCAGAATATTTGCATAGTGGACAATTATACAACAGTAAAAACAGTGAGAGCAAATGCAATAAACTCATAAAACCTGCAGAAGAGGTCAATCAGCCCAGCCAACAATTTTAATCACACACATATGTGCCTGGACACGCCTGCTTTTCATGTATTTGTCTCTATGTCAGCCATTTTATTTACCTTATAATAAAGGTTTCGAGGTAATTATCTAATACATATTCGCAACAACCAAGAGAAGCGTTCAACATCTCAAAGTTTTGTCAAATTTTATACTATAATATAAAATAGTCCCCTTTTGCTTCTGTGACAGCGCTGTGGACTCTAGGCTTTCATTCATCCAGCTTCGAGATGAGGCCAGCTGGAATGCTTCTCCAACATTCCTGAAGGAGTTTCCACTAGCTCTGGGCTACCTTGCTTATCCCAAACCAGCACTACAGGCTTTAGGTCAGCGGATTGTGAGGCCGGGTCATCTGTCACAGCACTTCATTCCTTTCCTGGTTCACGAGATAATACTTATTACATAACTTCGAGGTGCGCATAGGGTCATTATCTTGTTGAAAGACAAATGATTTTTAGTAGGTGTGTCCAGACTTTGACTGGCACTGCATAGCAATTCCTACTGAACATACATGACATTTAAAATGTCTAATGTTACACCGTCATTCTTTTACCCGGAAGGTACAGATGCTTTGTCTAAGGGCGCTTTCCCACTGCACCAGGTACTATACGTTTGGTACTTTAAAAGAAAGTGTGGTACTTCAAATTGTTGGTTTTTCACTGGCGATAAAAACTGGTACTGGCGCTGAATAACATCAGAACTCCAGGCAGAGTATTTTTTACTGAATTGGAAAAATTAGTATAGAAAATTACAGGGCTGGGCGATGTGTGATATTAATACCAAAATTGCACAGTATGCACATCCTTACTTGCAAATACCGCAATATTCATATGATCTGAGATCAGGATTTTCATACTTTCACACTGCCCAGACATTTTTACTTTGCCATAGACAAACAAAACTTAGTAAGCGTCGCAATTTTAATGATTATTCCTTTTCAAGATTATCTAATATATGTTTAAAAATCGATTTAAAGTTTACCTCCACTGCACAACAATTTTCTTTCTTGCCATTTAAATCACTCCTAGATGTGTTTGTGAGAAATTTATGTTGAACTACTTTTTTGATTTATATATACCCCAAAATAACATTGCGATATTTGAAAATTTCCCAATACCGTGCTGCCCTAATATATTATACAAAATTATTATTTTTTATTTCTTGTCATGCCGTCTTGATCTTTTTTGAAATGCTGCATTTCAAAGGCCTACTCTACATGAACTGTCCCATTATAGGCAATATGCCTTTTTCTGCTAACACTTAAAAAACATACAGATATCAGCATGATGTTATAACAGTTGACCACTAAAAAGAACCTTAAATCGCTGCTTTTTTGGGTACTTCATTGACCGCCGTGGGGAAATTCTGTTTATGCCTCCCCCAACTTGCTCTCTGTAGGTGAGAGTAAGCTGGCCATGAAGGGCAGCCACCCACAGCAGCACACTGGGAGTTGGGGGTTAAGGGTCTTGCTCAAGGACCCCCAGACGTGCTGAGACCTTCTGATCACAGGCACAAAGGCTTAGTCATAACAGATATCCTAAAGCAAGGCAAAGCAGTGCAGTCATTCACGCCATTACGTCATAGGCTGTATTCCCAATCATATACCACTGAGCATTATGTATTTTTGCCCCAAGCTAACATGCCTACATGCCAACACTAAGCCCCAGATCCAGAGCCCTACCCAAGAACCAACACGGGTTTGTTTTCTGGACTGTTCCCTACTCTCCTCCCTAGATAAACTCGTAATTCCTTCCCCAAATCCCTGTACAATCTAAATCTGCTTTGCATCTCTCTCGAGCAAGTCTTATAATCAATTATAAGCCAGTTGTCAAATATATGCCAATTACTTTATACACTTCAGTGCGTGATCAGTCAAATATGTGCAAAATGTAAGGATAAAGGACAAACTAAATGAACCTGTACTCATTTTTGCCCTATTGCCACTTCATATAGGGACATTGTGCAGGGCTGTCTGGATTGTAAAGTGAGTGACAAACTGATAAAGGAGTGGCTGGTGTGACTCATAGCGACAAACATACCTAAATCAACACTGTCTGCTGAATAGCAACAGCAATTCATCTCCACAATCCGAGCCCTTTTCTAATACGAGATAAATGCCTATACTAGTCATCAGAGTAAGAAAAATCACCACAAAAAATGCTGAGACCTTTTTAACCCTAAACACAACATTGTACACAAGAGCTTAAATACACTCCTACTGTCACATGCCACAAATTAAAAACACCCCTTGTCAATTGTATGGCAGCACAAGCCTTAAGCTCACTTTTCACTGTTGAATTGCCCTTGTAATCCACATCAATACACTGCTTTTATTTTGTTATCGTGAAGGTGATCTGTAAAACCGTGCAGAACAAGAACGAAAGTCGATGGGACAGACGGCCCGAGCTGACAGGTTTTTCCAGGTCAGGGATAACCTGCAGGTGTGTGTGTGTGTGTGTGTGTGTGTGGGGGGGGGGGTGTTAAATCGGACCCTGATGTATCCAAAACACGGCAACTACGCTGTGAATAAGAGAATCGTGTTTATTTTTTGGGTGGTCCTGCATCCTTCTCTCTGGGCTGTCAATTGGCTGCGACACTTCATTCCCACATGCTACCAGTTTGTCAGCTGAACTAAATTTCTATGATTTACAACTCCCTCAGAGAGCCATTGAAGGTGAAGAAAATGAAATACAGAGCTGGGAAAGGGGCAAAACATTGAGAAAAACTCCTGAGTTTGAAGTCGTAAATTTACGAGAAAGAACTAAAATATTTATTGCGTGATAAACACTTGCAAGTTTGTTCTGTCATTATAATAGTGTTAAGCAGCACACATGTACCAGGGCATATCCTGGGATCTAAGCCCAGCACCACTTATGCCTAGTTAACCCCTCGACAGCATGTATGTTTGTCATGTGCTCTTCATCTTACTTGTACGTCGTTTTGGAAAAAATAAACTAAATAAATTAAATAAAAGTACAGTAAATGTAAATTGTGTGCTGTACTGCAAACCTAGCGATAACTCTGAAACGTTTATTGTTTATAACTGTAACCGGTTATGATCAGTTATCGCCATATCGCTCACCGTTGCCATAGCGTAAGAATTTGAACGCATGTACAGCACTGTGTGAAAGTCGTAGGCAGTCAAAGGAAATGCATTTTAAATGATCTTCATGTTGATGTAAAACTATATTATTATGTCTAGAAGAATCATCTTGGCCATTTCAAAACCTCTCCTAAACTCACCCCAGTATTTGCAGCAACCATCTGAAATGTATTTTTTTATATATTGACCTCTACCCAACCTCGTTTGAGTAATCAATACCTCATCAATACCTCGAGTTATGCAAATAATTAAGTCAATCAAGTTTGGGAACCGAATCAACAACAACAACAACAAATTTATTTTTGTATAGCGCATTATCACAACATTACATTGTCCCAAAGCGCTTTACAGCATCCCCACCCAAAGCCCCCAGTGAGTAAGCCATAGGTTACATGTTCTTCTAGGCATCCAACCAGATATCAGTAACTTTTTGAATAGCAGAAGAAATTCTTGATTATTTGTTATCGTGTTACTGTTAACTTGCACAAGTTTTAATGTTAAATTGTTTCTTTTCTGATCAAATACACATTTGCTGCCTAGATAAATAGCCTTAAACATTTTGTTTGACTGCCTAGGATTTTGCACGGTACTGTACAGTACCAGTAAAAGCTTTGACACACTAAGGTGCCCACAAAGGAGAGCTGTGGAGTGTTACATCACATGATCCGGCCACCTGACCTAAATGCAGTAGAAATGCTTTTGGAGAAGTTTGATCAGAGTGAAGGAAAAGCAGCCAATAAGAGCTCAGCATATGTGGGAACTCCGTCAGGGCAGCAGGAAAAGCATCCCAGGAGGCCACCTCATGA